TTTTTTTTATGATGGAGAAGGGATTTCAGAATAATTTTATCATAATAATATATATGAGGGACAAAATATCTTGCGTGAGTATTAATAAAAAAATATCTCTTATATAAATATTAATTAAAAATAATATATTTTATACAAGAATTAATAACAAGTATCAATAGGGATAGAAGAAAAAATAAAATCATCAAATATTTTTTACCTAAAAAATAAATCGAGGTTTGGGCTCGGTTTCCCCACAAAGAGATGCTGGGAAAGCCCACCGCCCAAGCCGACTGAAGTTGGTGGGGATGCCCATCAGGCCTCGGGCTCCTGAGCCCAATTCTTTTCCTGAGTTCAGCTATTGTATCAAATCCTTAAAAATGTTTGGAAATGAGTCAAAAAGTTTTGAGCCCATGATCATTATGGGTCTGGTTCAAAAAAGAAAGAAATCTTGATCTGTTATGAGTTTTTTTCTCTACATTAAGTTCAAGAATAAGTAATTTGATAGCAGTAAGACAAAAGGTGAAGAGGCTATGGTCTGATGCCATGATGACTTGCTCATTTACAACCTCCTGGCGCGTACTGTGACTTGCCGCCCTGATTATCATGAAAGCAAGCATCATATTTTCCATTTTGTCGACCTAAATCCTGCTTATAATCTCTTAACTGTTGCACTACAAACTCCTAGTTTCAGATGTGGCAGATTTAGGATTTAAGCGCTGTGGTACTAGTTTCTTATCTACTAGTCCATGAAGACTGTAATTAATGGACATTATGAAGAGTATCAACGATTTTATAACTTGGTGGGTTGGCCTGCTCCATGAACTCGTGTACTGCCATTTTTCTGGTGATTGTTATATTGGTTGTTTCATGATGGACAAGGTAGAAGCATTCCTTTATATGAAGTTTTCCTAGAACAGGTTGAATCATATTATTTTCTTGGCCAGGGTGAATAAATTTCTATGGTGAATTTCTATTTCATGACAGACTTCAGCTACAATCATTCGCTTAGATAGATTTAGAGGAGTCGACTGAGCTGCGGCCTGGTAAGAAAATTAGCTTGTAATAATGAAATCCTGCCGTCTTCACAACATGACACCTTGAAACTGTTGTAAACTAGGATTTCCCTTCTGACAATAAGCTTTTCTGGCTTCCTTAAAATTGTTCCACCGCCAATCTAGTTTACCTCTTGCTGGATCATGTTTCTCACGCATACTCACACGCCCTTAACAGAGCAGGAATGCTGATGGAGGATAAATACGCAAGGAATAATGTTACCCAATCGTCGTTAATTGCCTCGGTTGTTAGCAACTAGCTGAGCACTGTAGGGATGGAGAAATTCGGCAGAGGTCCTGTTGCTTTGAGAGCAATTTGTTTTCTTAAAACTTTATTTATCATGTTGCAAGTTGCAGTAAACGTATTCAAGCTAGGCATTAATTGTTGCTTTCGTTGCAATACAAGTTGTTGATGATGGAATTTGCTGGCGAGAGTCCATTTGATATATTCTCCAGTCTGATTAATCTGGTAGTGCGAATAGAATTGTCCTGCCAGGTGCTTGTGTTATTTTTTTCTCCCTATTCTCTCTTTCGGTTGAGGGACAGGGACACAAAGCCAACTTGCGATCCCCGGTTTTCCCTTGTGTTGATAGCCTTTGCTACCGCCTGTAGGCTACGCTAACAGATGTTGATGTGTCGACGAGATTATCTAGGTTGTAAATTGGCTGCCTCTCGAATATTTCAGTGGCAAGTTTCCTCTTTACCATATTCACGAGGAGCCGTGCTCCTTTATGTAACTTCCTGGAATATGCGTAGAATTTGAAGCTGTCTGGTTTGGTGAAATAGAGAACAGTAGGAGATCCGAGGGAAACTTCCCTCTCTTTGTTTTAGGGTTCTCCACTAGTTTGTGCTTATCAAATATCTTTCAGGACTAGTGAAATTTTAACACAATTTGGACAAAAGCTTTTGATTCAAATTTGTAGAAAAACTTGTAGGATTAAAGTCATTTTTTTCCTCAAATTATTACGAATTCAAGAGTTTTAAGATAGAAATGTGTTGCCTACGAATGAAAACTCGAATGCAGTCCTCTTAACATTTCGCAACGATTAGGCACTGCAAAACTATTATTAAAGTTTATGGAGTAAAATGCAAGTCCTTCATACCCAGAAAAAGTGATCAAATCAAATCCCTTAAAAGGACTCAAGATGAACTATCCGAAACTTGAAGGTCTAAAATGAAAATGGCCATGAAATGTGAAAGGTGGCAAATCCAGTAGGGGTAGCATTCAAGTAATTGGGGTGAAAAACTGCACGAAACCTTTTTTTTCTTTTACCAATTTGTTTTTTTTTCTTTCGCCCGTGGCATATTCGTTAGCAGCCATGTTAGGCAGGTGGCAACCTTGTAAGAATTCCTGGAATAAGTGTCGATTCTAATGTTAGCTAGTTGTCTAGACAGACAGTGAAAGATCTGGAATTCTCCATGGAAATTGCCTGCCTGGTGGCTAGTCAGTGGAGGTTGGTGTGGCTATTGATGAAAGCTTTGGAATAAGTGTCGATTCTAATGTTAGCTGGTTTGTCTAGACTGACAGTGAAAGACCTGGAATTCTCCATGGAAATTGCCAGCCTGCTGGCTAGTCAATGGAGGTTGGTGTGGCTATTGATGAAAGCTTAAAAATCAAAATAGCAAAGCAATAAAGTTTACGGGTTGGGTATTCAGTTAATTTTAAAAACAAATGCTTTGAATATATATATATAGAGTAGAGAATAAGGCTATATTCTACTCATTTTATCCCTTAAAAAAATAATAAGTCATAACAGATTTAAACTTATCCAGAACCAAGTTTAATATACTGTCAAACCTAATCATGGATGTGTTAGGCATGTCATCAAGCCCCTCCTAAGTTGAGCTTGACGTACTGCTGATCTAGGGTTGGACTTGAAAAACTATTATCCTAAATCATGGCTGCTAGGTTTGACATCCTATCAAGAACACTCGGGATTGAGTTTGAAAAACTGCTAAGTTTAATTGTGACTGAATTTAAAAAATTATTAAGCCTAGTTATAGTTGAATTTGACAAAGCTTAGTCATTTCAAAGTCCGGTTGGTATCAGGTCCAGCACATTTTCATTGAAATATATTTAGTGCTAGTATGTGACATCCCAACAAGCTCAAGAATTTTAAAAAATTATATCCATATTTTTTTCTTAATTTAACCTTTACAAATAAAAATACATAAAAATATATCATCAATCATATTCACGATTCACACGTTATCAAATCTCTAGTCTAATGTTGTCCTGATCAGTATGGCCAGCATGTGATAAGAAGATTCTTGAATATGATGTCACGCAAGGGCATGCAATGCATTGTCAAAGCCCCGATGAACATGAACATTGAGCCTAAATTCCCCCAACTATTTATTCTTCGAGGTGGGTGCATGCAGCGAAGAAACCTTCCCTGCCACAAAAGTCGTTATTCAACAGCAATTGCTTTATTTTTTAATCAATATTTTTTAAAAAATAATTAAAACTCGAGTTAATCTAAGTAAATAAATACAATTCACTACCTGGTTCTTAGATCTTGTACATCCTCAACTCGAGTCTTACTTATAAACATGTGAACTAATTTCTAATTCCATTTATTATTTGTGTTATAAAGAGGTTTTATTTTCCCTCGAGGGAATTGTAATTAGGTTTTGCTTGTACATGATATGGATCATAACAGTGAGAGCATGACAGGCAAGCCAAGACAGTGCAATTGGAGTAGGAAAACATATAAATAACATAAGTTAACAATCATATTTTAAAATTTCCATAAATAAATAAAAATCAAATAATCTCATCTTCATTATTTACAATCAAAATATCTATATCATATTTTAGTTACTTATCATATTTTCATGTAATTAATTAAACCTACAATATGGACTTTAAATGCCATGTTATCTTTAATATTATATTTAATTTTTATACTTTACAGATATAGTTAAATTTTCGTTACTTCTCCTCTCTCCTCTATCAAATAAACAAACTACTTTTTATTATATTAAAAAAATCAATACAAAGCTTACTAACAATAATTTTTGAATTGAAATAATTTTAAATAAATAAATAAAAAATACTTAATTTACCAACTATCAAATATAACAAATAAAAAAAAATAAGATATAGAGTTGAGTTTAGTTAGGCTACAATGTTTAATTTTTAGATTTTTAAGATATAGAGTTGAGTTTAGTTAGGCTGGGTTTAAAAAATCATGACCTGTTACTAGGCTACAATGTTTAATTTTTAGATTTTTTAAAATTAATTATCACATATAATATTTAATTTTTGGTGTGCTTGATATAATTTTTTTTTTTCTGATTTTTAATATTTTTTACTTGAAAAAAATACTAAAAAAATATTTTAATATATTTTAAAATAAAAAGATATTCTACATCATAATGTCACGCATCTCCTTTTAAAAGCCTTGGAGTAAAATAATGCAAATTGACTGTTATTCTAACTCCAATCTTGAAACAAAAGCAAAAGTAAACAAAGATAAAAAGATAGCAAATTGGCCTCGGGGAGTTCACAAGGAAAAGCAAGGAAGCCGCGGTAAATCTTTAACAAACCGGTAACTCCGTTAAAAGTGATTCGTGTTTTTTTTTAACAGGCGTTAAAAATAACAGTGACAGGTAAAAAAACAGCCATAGTAGTTAAAAAAAAAAAAAAGAACCGGGAAAAAAAGAAGAAGTGGAAGAGTGTTTGCTTTTTGAAACAGCCACGCGGCTATTTCAGGCCACTCGAGCCTCTTCGCTTTTTGTTTTTTTTTTAAAAATTCTCTCTTTAAAAAAACACAAAATTTCTTCCTTTGATTGGCTCCTTTTCCCTCTCCCTTCCCTTCTTAAATTCTCCTTCACAAAACCCTTCCTTTCTCATTCCCCCCTGTCTCTCTCTTTCTCCCCTCTTCGTTTCTGCAATATATAACTTTTTTTTTCTTTTTTCGTGGGTTTTTTTTTTGTATTTATATATTAAGGGTTTTTCTTTTACTTTTCTTTCTTTTTTCGCTTCTGTTTTTCATTAATTTCCGAACTTTTTCGAATTTCATAATTGTGAGTTGGGATTTCAAAAATAAAGTGTAGTGATTATATTTTTCTATGATTTAAATGATTTTGAAGGTTTGCTGGTGTCAAGTATGTTCTTGTGCTGATAGTTCAAATAAATAAATTGTATAAGAGTAAAGTTTTCTGCTTTAAACTTGAAAAAAGAAAGAAAGAAGAAGAATGGAATCTAGCAATGGAAAGGAAGCAGAAGGGGCAATGAAGGAAGAGAAAAGCAATACCCATCAAGAAGTAGAAACTGTTTCAAATGCAGAAGAGCCGAAATTGGGCTCTAAAGTGGGTAGTATGAGCAATAAAGAAATGTACTTTAGAGCAGATAAAATAGATTTCAAGAGCTGGGATGTTCAGCTAGAGAAGCATTTAAGCCGTGCATGGTCAAGGGATACGGAAGTGCAATCAACAAGAAAGGAGGAGTGGGAGATTGATCTGGGAAAATTGGATATAAGGCATGTTATTGCTTACGGGACTTATGGGGTTGTGTATAGAGGCAATTACGATGGCCAAGATGTTGCTGGTAATGCAGTTTTTATTTATTTTTCTCCTTTTCCTGCTTACTTCCGGAATTTTTCATTCAATTTCTTTGTTTTTTTCATTTTCAGTTGCTGACTTAAAGAAATTTCGATAATTTGAGAGTTTACCTCTGCTAACTTACTTTTTGCAGTATAACTATAATTGAATTCCTTATGGGTGAAATGAAATTGTGAAATATTCTGTCTGTGATTAATGGCCATTAGGTAGCTGTAAATTTCTTCATATGTAGAAAAGTAAAAAGATGGTAAAGGAATTTAGATGTCAGGTCTGACGTTATGTTTAAAACATTTATGTTATGGGACAGAATAAAAGGTTCACATGACAATCTATCACTTTGAAACATCTCTGATAGGACATTTAGGGCTTCGTTGGTATGGTATGTTATGGTACGGTAGATGTTGCTCTCTAAAGCTTTTTTTTTTTTTTAATGTATTAAAATAATATTTTTTTTTATTTTTTAAAATTTATTTTTTATCGACACATCAAAACAATAAAAAAATAATTGATTTGAAGCTTAAAAAAATATCAAGCTATTGCATCGCAATTCCAGACAAGTCCCCGTATTAACGACTGCATTTCAAGACAATAACTTTTACGTTCCATGTAAATTACGTTGTTTTTTATAACTGCAACTGTATGTATCTTATTGCACACGGTTTTTTCTTTTTGTCTGGATTGTGTTTTCGAGAGCTCATAAAATTCGTTATTAGTACATAGTGCTTTGGCAGAGAGGGTTGAAAAGTATGCGGCGGAAGCATCACTGGCTCTGTGGCTTATAGGAAAGCTGACTTTTAGTTCATATGTCTTTTAGATAAGATTAACGTAAAACTTTTGATATTAAACAGTAAGGCATGACGTTTTACACTTTTTTTTGAACCATTGATTAGTATTCTTAAACATCCTTGGTTAAGTTTTCTTGCTGTCCCTCCTGATTTTTTTTATCCGAGTAAATACTCTGGTTTAATTTCTTCTTGCCCTTTTTGGTTGTGCTTCGTTGTTTGGAATGAGATAACAAAAGGCATGGCTTGAGCGAGTCATGGTAAGTGCAGCTACCCGGCTTTTGCGATGTCACATAAATTTGGCTGGGGTGCTTGTATGAAGGAGTTTTGAACTGGTTATATATTTGTTTAAATCCTCGGTGTTTTGCTGAAGGAAAGGGTGTCTTTCTGAATCCTCCCCACTCTCAAATTATTTAAATTCCTTCGATGTTGAAAAGTTTGGTTATATGCTAAAACGTGCATTTCTTTGAATATTTCAGTTTTACCCAAGAGGAGACATTCCCTTTCTTGCAAACCCTGCTACAATAAAATTGTAAAGATTGTACAAAATTTTAAGTCAATCTACTGAGTGCAAACTCTATTTTGAAGGATTTATTTAAAAAATTCTGAATTTGAATACTTTTATTTTTAGATATTTTCTATTGCAATACTCTGTTTCCCTCTTTCAATGTTCTAAAGCATTCTTTGTGTTCAGGTTCTCATTTCTTTCTGTTTTTTTTTTTTTTTGAAATTTACACTTCCTGTCCCTTTGACCGTGAATATACAATGTTCATTGAATGGAGAACGAAGATCAAGTTGAGCCTGCAGATTATTGGTTTTAATGGCCTTAACCTTCTTTCATCCTGCTATCATGTGATTGCTACACTGAGTCAATTATGCTGTTCTGTACTGACAGTGGATGATGTGTATAGAATGACACGTTTTTATAACAAAATTGGAAATAATCCTAGAATTGCGAGGTGCATTGTAACCCTCCAAAATCATTTCTCGTTTCTAGCAGGACATGCATAATCTTGCTTCAAATTTATGAGAAAAAGACTTGGTGAAATTCCTTTGTTATAGATGTTGCTTTGTAGTATATAGGTGTCATTATTTTACAAGCAGTATCCATATAAAGTTTTTTTTAACCACAAATTGTTTGATAGCGTTGCTGTTAAGATTGGTTCAAATGTAGGAAGCTACAATGTCTGTTTGATACTCTTTAAGCGTGTCTGTGTATATGTTATGGCATGATGATAATGTGAATTGTCAACTCCGCCACCCAACCTGTTATAATAGCCTAAAACATCAAACTTCAACTCCAAATGTGCAATACGTACTTGTCTCGGCAAATTCCTCACTGCCAACTATTAATTATTACAGTGAAGGTATTGGACTGGGGGGAGGATGGCATTGCTACTGATGCTGAAACTGCGGCTCTCCGAGCATCATTCAAGCAAGAGGTTGCTGTTTGGCAAAAGCTTGACCATCCTAATGTTACAAAGGTAAAGGATACTCTGTCAATCAATGGCTTGATGTCTTCTGCAGTTACCTTTCATTGATAAAAAAATCACTCAAAGTTCTTTCTTGCTTTTCTATTGTGATAGGTGCTGTTCCATAGATTTCCATCACAAGCTTTCTTGATGCATTGCCATTGTATCATCATCTTAAAATCTATAACTATAATTATCCATGACAGTTTGTTGGAGCTTCAATGGGAACTTCCAACCTGAAGATCCCTTCCAAAAGTTCTTCAAGTGATAGTGTCAATTCTCCTCCTTCCAGGGCGTGTTGTGTTGTTGTTGAGTACCTTCCAGGTGGGACGCTTAAGAAATTTTTAATCAGAAATAGGAGAAAGAAACTTGCCTTTAAGATTGTGATTCAACTTTCCTTGGACTTATCTAGGGGGTAAGTAAATATTTTCAATTAAAATGTTTGTTATTCGATGTTTATTTATAGATTTTGTTTGGTTTTATCCAATTTTGCAGTCTGAGCTACCTTCACTCTAAAAAGATTGTACATCGTGATGTTAAGACAGAAAATATGTTGTTAGATGCTACTAGAACTTTGAAAATTGCTGATTTTGGTGTTGCTCGGGTTGAGGCTCAGAACCCAAGGGATATGACTGGGGAAACTGGTACTCTTGGATACATGGCCCCTGAGGTATCCACTGTTCTTCCTTTTCTGTTGTTGTAGTTTTCCCTTCACATGAAATCCTTACAAAAGAGTTTAACACGAAGTGATTGTCCAGGTCCTGGATGGTAAGCCTTACAACAGGAAATGTGATGTATACAGCTTTGGCATATGCTTGTGGGAAATCTATTGCTGTGACATGCCTTATCCGGATCCTAGTTTTGCTTCTGAAGTTTCATCTGCAGTTGTTCGACAGGTTTGTTTGCTTTTATATTTTGATAACTGTAGTGGGAGGCCCCGTTTTTATTTCTTATAATTTGGAATGCCCCATAGTTTGATCCCTGCAGTTGCAATTAGTTCCCAGGGTGCATGCTGAGGAAAACACCTACGTATGGTAATATGAGATGCATAATGTATGATGTCATACAGAGTTGAACCTCAAGACTTACTTACGTGACTAGAAAACTGCTATCGTGCAATGTGAAAAATACTGATGTTTGTATGAGCAGAAGCACTAAGGTATCTCTTGTTTCTTTAAATAGCTGACCCAAAGATTAACACACATGACTAGATGATTGACGCTGAGGGGAGTGTGATTATTTGTTTGAGTAATAGCATTAAAGCCGTGTTCTTTCTATTGTCATCATAATGTTGATCCATAGGACCAGGTGACCTGATTAGTGTAAGTTTTATCAAACCTGGTTGGACTTCATCTTACATTGTTGATTTGGTTGCACTGGACATTGCCTTCGTGGAATCTAGCCTGTTCGCAGTTTTAAGATACCATGTTATGTTGATAATTTCAATGTTGAAAGCGATCTTGGCAGCATTTGAGGCCAGAAATTCCTAGATGTTGCCCAAGTTCATTAGCCAGTGTCATGCGAAAATGTTGGGATGCAAATCCAGAGAAGCGCCCTGAGATGGACGAGGTAGTTGGGCTGCTCGAAGCAATAGATACAAGCAAAGGGGGTGGCATGTTACCTGAAGATCAATCAACTGGCTGCTTGTGTTTCTCCCCAGCTCGTGGTCCATAACACCTTTCGCCTTCCACCAGTCTTTGATGCTCATAGTATTGAAGCAATCCACTAGATCGCAGGTTTCTCTAGCACATGAACTAGGAATTTAGATGCCAGAGAATTTCTGCGTCTAGTTGATTCATCACATGTTATCAGTGTATTGATATTAGCTCTGCATTTCTTTGTTGCATAGAATTATAGAATTTGGAAATGTTGGAGCTACACATTTATTCTTTATATTTTTCCGTGAGTACATCATGGACATCAAGATGGATGGCAGTAAGAAACCACGAGCATACGCAGATGAAAATGAATCAAAACTTTACATTTTAATAATATTCGGCCTGTAACCAAAAGTTTGGGTTTTTCTTTCTCATCAAGGGTCGAATCAGGTAGGTTTTAAGAACATATTTTGCCTAAAACTAAAGCAGCTGAAGCAAGTAGTAGTGCTGTAAAATTATTCTGCAAGATGAGAATCACAGGATGCTAAAGCAAGCATGTTGCCGCTACGAAAACAACTAAAGATAAGCATTTGGGATCCTTGCCTGTGCAATTTTGATGACGATATTATTGGATAAGCAAGTGGCCGTGTATCATGTACGGATGGCGTCAGAGAAGTGGAAATCATCTTGTGGCCGACGGGATAAATGCTAGTGGCAAATTGCTAATGTTGGTAGAGTGGAATCTCGCGTCAGCCGCCACTGGTCTGGCAGATAAGCAGCCAATGCTACCTTTCTACGTGTAGGTTGGATGAGATAGTGATTATGATTTTAGTTGAAGAAAGTGATGGGATTAATGTTGGCTAATTATCATTAGAGTTCTGCTTGACAGCACTCTCTCCTTATCATAGCATTTGCACTCGTCTCTCGAATGATTTAACACGAGGAGATTGGTGATTGATCATTCAATATTTCACATGATTGTAAAATTAACAAGAATATTTATTAATGAATTTTTAAATACTTAAATATCTACCTCGTTCTTCTTAAAAAAAAAGAAGCTCTCTACCACTATATTTTGTTAAATTAAATGACTCTCGAAGGATATGGATACAAGATTTATAAACACCGGGGGCTGGAAAGTAAACATTCAAAGTGGAAAGGACATTATTGCTAATATGTAAGAGTCTTGGGTGTGAATGTCCACAACCTCTGTACTCTATAAATACTCCTGTCACACCAAAGCGCAACTGCAATCTCACAGTTGTCTAGAGACTCTAGACACTGCCGCGCCTAACAACTTCAAAACACACAAAAACCCCCTTCCGCACGACACAAGTTTTAAGATGTCCCACCCAGCCGCCGAAACCTCGTCGTTTATGGTCGATTTCCTCCGCCAATCAGGTGGCGTTGCCATTATCGACGGCGGTCTCGCGACGGAGCTCGAACGGCATGGGGCTGACCTCAACGATCCCCTCTGGAGCGCCAAATGTCTCCTTACTTCCCCTCACCTCGTCCGTGCGGTAACCCCCTCTCTTCTATCTCTTCTCGCACACCCCGATGTGTTTCTGTTTCCGTTGAAATTGATGTTGCCTCTGTTTAGTTTTCGTGTATCCTTTTCTCTTTTAAGTGCGGACCAAATGGTGCCTTTAGACCCTATAATCTTTTTTGTAATTCAAATAATAATAATAAAATAATCTAAGACTTAACAAAGAAAGAAAGATTTGTGTTATTTTCGCTGACAGAAATTTAGAATTCATGTCACGAAAAGGGGAATCTGTGATTTTAGAACCCTTTGAGAGAAATGGGAGGAGGGGGGGGGTGTCAAATTGGAGATTTTGATTGTGAATGAGTGGCAGCAGCTTGCAACGGGGATGGGGCAGTGATAAAATAAAATAAAATTGGTGAAGAGTACGGACCGCCATGTGGGCTGTTTTCAGCTATATCCATCTATGACTGGGTGTGGGTTTGTGTTTCTGGAATCAGCTTCTTAGATTTGATTGTTGTTTGGCAGTGCATAAACTCAGTAGATGTGAATTATCACTTCTTTTTTTTAGCTTACTTGGCTACAAATTACAATCACTCAGCTATGCTGTTTTGTATTGGTTGGAATTTGGCCGCGATTTCAGAGAATTTAATATAGTATACTGTATCAAAGTTGAACCACCCTGCTTTCTTATTTTATTTTTATGATATTGGACCTCTCTGGTTTTTTTTCTATTTGTAAGTAATTTTAAGCGTGTTGATCTAAGGATTGAACGTTGAACTTGGACAAGCATCAATTGGTTTTGAACATTAAATGCATAAAACATCACCCTCATTTTTTCCCAACCCCTTTTTAGTGATGATATGCCAAAATCTTCTATTTACCGACATTGATTGTATTTGTGAAATTTTTGCTTTTCTTACTTAAATTGTTCATTTTAGCCCAAGAAAAATATATCCCTAAAATTTTATGGATGAGAAATATAATTAATGTACATATAAAAAGGAAAAGAAATTAACGTAATAGGAAACAAGTTTAATTCCCAGAAATCACAATGACTTTCATCTTAGGAAAAATTCCATTTAACTGCAAGTTTTTTTCTACTTAACTTTTTACGGAGAAAAGGTTTTAAATGTCTGTAATTGGTACTGGAAACAGTATTTTATCAATTCCATTAATAGAAGCTTTGTTTCGGAAAACTAAATGCAATTGATAGTATTCATGTGTTATCAATATCGATAATGGATCAATAACTAACATATTAAGAATTGCTGCCTTCTTTTGTTATTTAGCAATCTTTTCAAAATATTTTTAGTTCTACATGAAATCATATGGAATACTGATGTGGTATCGTTCCATTGGATAATGTGTTGCTCGATTGAGCAGGTACACCTTGACTATCTTGAAGCTGGTGCAGATATTATCATCACAGCATCTTATCAGGTAATAACAATGATCTTCCCCCCTCCCCCTCTCTCTGTGGAGCTTACGCTCAGTTTCGCTTGAATGTGGACAGGCCACCATTCAGGGATTCGAGGCAAAAGGTTTTTCCAGAGGAGACAGTGAAGCCTTGCTCAGGAAAAGTGTGGAAATTGCTTGTGAGGCACGAGATATATATTATGGTAGATGCAGAGAAGGTTCTCCTGATGGAAGCGATGATGGTAGGGTTCTGAAACATCGGCCTATTTTAGTTGCAGCTTCCGTTGGAAGCTATGGAGCTTATTTAGCTGATGGATCCGAGTACAGGTTAGTTAACCTCTAACTAAGTCATTGCATGAGCCGCATCACCACGCATATCTATTTGTATCAAGCACCACTTGACAGTCATATGTCTTAGTTATATGCACTTTTATTCTAAAAGCTTTGTGGAGACTTAATCTTCGGAGTGCTTTATTGGATCTTAGAAAATTTTAGTTATTTTATTTTTTATTCTAATAGTGATGTGGAGACTAAATCTTAAGGGTTCTTTACTGGATCTGAGTAAATGACCATGGTCATAAGCTTGATGGCATTGGAATGTGGTTCACTGTCTTTGCTCAATGAGGCTGTCCTACTGTCCTTCATGTAAGTGAACTCTAAAGTATAGTTTTTCTATCTCTAATTGTTGTTTTCCCTTTACAGTGGGAATTATGGTGATGCGATTACCCTTGAAACCTTGAAAGATTTTCACCGCAGAAGAGTACAGATCCTAGCAGAATCAGGTGCTGACCTCATAGCATTTGAAACAGTTCCAAATAAGGTAGAAGCTCAGGTATTGATCGAACCCTTTGTCATGTTGCATTATCTTAATTTCTTGCTCTTAGAGGAATGTCATGATCAAATCTAAGAAATAGGAAATGGTGTTAATACTGCTGCCACAATTCATTGTTGTGCTTATTTTCCCTTTGACTAGGTCTTTGTTTGTATAGGCATATGCCGAGCTCTTGGAGGAAGAAGGCATAAAGATCCCTGCATGGTTCTCTTTTAACTCTAAGGATGGCATTAATGTAGTCAGTGGTGACTCTTTGCTTGAATGTGCCTCCATTGCCGAATCATGCAAGAATGCAGTTGCTGTGGGAATCAACTGCACACCTCCTAGGTTTATTCATGGACTGATTCTGTCCATTAAGAAGGTATGCTTTTCGTGTTCCTTCTATTCTTTTCTTATCATTTTTAAATGCTCTTAATAAATTTCAGAACTTCAGTGTTCATTATTGGTGGTCATAAATATCTCCATCTGATATAAAGTCAGAGCTATTCATTTGTACAATAAATGATTATTGAAACTCTGTATTTTGTTAATGAACTTATTTGATCCCATGCCAGAAATATAAATAATTACGAAGCAAGCAGAACCTTAGACAATACTCGCAATCTATGTCCTCAAATTGGTATCAAATTAGTTGTCAACGACTACACCTAGGTCATTTTTTATTTTATTTTTTTTGCGGTAAATTTATTAACAATTGCCTAATTTCTGCAACAGTGTGAACTTAAAATTATCACAATTTTACTTTAGTTAAAAAGTCAAGAACTTTGATTGAATTTAGAACTGAATTTTAAGAATTTTACAATCGTGATAAGGTCCTTGGTTTTTAGAGATGTAAGATGATATTGATGGTTTTTTTCTATGTCCAGAATGGTCTTGCACTATATTCCACTATGCAATGTTGTTATAAGAATGTGGTCATGGATAACTGTTAGTTTTGAACATCTCTTGATGCTAGATCACTGGGGTGGGGGGGTTATACTGTAGGCAACAGCAATACCACCTGCCCCTTGAATTTATGATTTCTATGTTAAAATAGTTGCTGGATACAAAAATAAGAATTGATTCCATGTCTTTAGTATATTTATCAGCATTAGAATTAAAGTTTAACATGTGTCTGGCACTGTGTGATTTTATCAGGTAACTACGAAGCCGATAGTTATTTATCCCAACAGCGGTGAGAGTTACGATGGAGATCGAAAGGAATGGGTGGTGAGTTCATTTTGCCTTGTTTGTAAGAAATACTTTTCTTAAATTTAACTGTGTCAACTCACTCTCGGTTGCAGCAAAATACTGGCATATCAGATCAAGATTTTGTATCATATGTAAACAAATGGTGTGAGATCGGGGCTGCTCTTGTTGGAGGCTGTTGTAGAACAACTCCTCATACTATAAGATCCATATACAAGACTCTTCCCAATAGATCTGCTGCTCTATCCTCGCAGTGACCACGGAGAGGATAATGTAATTCCAACCCCAAACATGGATGCTGGAAAGGGCTTTGCATGGTCTGAGATTTTTTCCCTGGTGTGGAGAGAGTCTAACCAAATCTAATCAAGGCCTGAGTTGAAGTTTTGTAGACGATGAGGTTTCTATTTCATGAGCTACTTGTATTGACAAGGTGACTCCTGCTGAACTCTTTCTGACCCGAGGATCCATAGCTTCTTCGTATTTTTTTTTTTTATATATATA